GTTTCCTCATGTGTAAATTGGTGGTAACAATGAGCCCTGCCATCTAGGGTTGTTGCAAGGATTGAGACGATAGAAATTAGTAAATGATTCGCTCATTACTGAGTGCCAGCCCTGGCCTAGGCATTTTGTGCATATTAACTCACTTAATCCTTACAGCAACATTTTGAGGTAGGAACTCTCACCTTGAGGCAATCACGGCACAGAAAAGATGGCTAACTTGCTAACAAGTGATGATCCTTATAATGAGTGATCTTATAATAAAGTCCCACTAACAGACATAACCTGAGAGTGCCCCTGTTCCCCACAGTCTAAAATCACCAGCAAACACGGTCCATTTAACAGGAACTTCCCTCTAATTTGTTCATGAGTCAGAATTTGAACACTGCTGTCTCTAGAGATCCCAGACACCACGGATGTAACCCTTATGTTGTCCTGCCTCTCACCATGTGTATAAAGCCTTAACATCCATGCTGATGCCCTAGTAAAACACTTGGTGTTAGCTATTATCAGACTAGGCCCTGCTGGAGCCCTTGCACAGCGCAGGGCCAGACATGAGGACGTGCTCAGTGGATCTCTGTAGAAGGAATGAACAAGGCTGCAACCTCATGGAGTTGTCCTACCACTCTCTGCCCCTGCCCACCCCATCGCAGCTATCCTGTGGGTCACACTGATGGGAGAGCACTGTCATGTGACTCGCAGCTGGCAGAGGCTGCTGGGCAAGGTGTCCAGGTTTGCTGTACAGGTCAGGCAGGCAGGGCCGGGCCGAGGAAAGGGAGACCATTTGCCATTATCTTTGAGCCTCTCTTTGGCACGTGGAATTTCTCAGATGCAGAGCTTTAAAGCAGCAGAGTGGCAGGTGAGTTCTTACCCTTCTTTATGAAAGAAAAACCAGGGAAAGCAAAGCATTCTGCTTTCTAGAAGCCCGGTCATCTGGAAGCCAGCTTCTGCAGCTCAAAAGAAGGCCTTAGCAGTTACAAAGAAACGCAAGATCATGGTGTGAAGCCAAACATGGAAAAAGTCAGTGTAGGCGCAAATGCACGCAGAGAAAAGCTGAGAGGAAGTGCTCCAAAATGAGAATAGTGGTTACTGCATATGGGTAATAGGGAACTTAATTTATTTCTCTAAATTTTTTTTTTTTGCATTTCCCAAGTTTTCTACAGAGAGCAGGTATTGTTTTATACTTACAGAAAAAGTTATTAAAACATAGAAAGGTACATGTAGAGAACATCTTTATAATTTTTTTTTTTTTTAATCTTAGTATCTCAGTTATAAGAAATGCACATCTCCTCTCAGAGTCCCCTGGGACAGGGCAAGGAAAGAAAGAAGCCTGGGGTGAGAGTGACACTGAGCCTGGGGTGAAAGTGACACTGAGTGTGTGTGTATCTGTGGTTTCTCTGGGGCCACCCGATGATTCAGGGACAGAGTCCTGGCTGCTCTCCAGGAGGTGAGACTCCTTTCGAGGTCAATCATTTCCTGATGGGTCCTGGTGGCCTCACGAGATATTAATATAGTACAGTTTGGTCAGTACCCATTTCTGTTTCCCAGCTTATTAACACTTCCTATTGCTCATCACTTTTGTTTTTGTCTTGGGATCATTTTTCTTCTACCTGAAAAACTCTATTTAGTATTTATTTTAGTGCAGATATGGTAGCAACAAAGTCTCAGTTTTTACCTGGAAAAACTTTATTTTGCCTTTGCTTAAAAGAAAATCAGTTTCATGGAAGTGTAATTTCATACAATAACATTCACAGATTTCAAGCATATGGGTTGCTGACTTTTGACAAGTTATAGGTATCTATATGTATATTCATACATACAGACACACATATGTGACTGTATAAAAGGGAGAGAGCAAGCACTGCAATCAAGACACAAAACATTTCTGTCTCCCCAGAAATGACCCTTATTCCTCTTTGCAGTCAATTTCTCCCCTGCTCCCATCTGCCCCCTGCCTCAGGAAACCATTGATCTGATTTCTAGATCAGATTTTCAGAATCACATGAATGAAATCTTTTTTTCTGAGATGGAGTCTCACTCTGTCACCCAGGCTGGAGTGCAATGGCACAATCTTGGCTCACCGCAACCTCCACCTCCCAGATTCAACCAGTTCTACTGCCTCATCCTCCCTGGTAGCTGGAATTACAGGTATGCACCACCATACCCTGCTAATTTTTATATTTTTCAAGGAGACAGGGTTTCACAATGTTGGCCAGGCTGGTCTCGAACTCCTGGCCTCAAGTGATCCACCTTCCTTAGCCTCCCAAAGTGCTGGGATTACAAGTGTGAGTCACTGCACCCAGCCCTATGTACCCTTTTGAGCCTGGCTTCTCTTACTCAGCGTAGTATCTGTGACACTCATTCATGATGTATTCTTGTTTCATTGGCATTTATTGTTGAATTGTGTTCTACTGTTTGAATATACTATACTTTGTCAATCCATTCACCAGCAGTTGTCCTCTGTGTGAGCCACAAGTTATTCTATTATAACCAGGACTGGAAGTCCCTTGTTTTTTTAAAAAAAAAAAAAAAAACAGTAAAAAAAAACAAAAAACAAAAAACAAAACAACAAAAAACCCATCAGAACCCCTGATTCTTTTCAAAAGGCGGGTTTCTAGAAGGGGAAGTTACTAAATAGAAAGTTTTCAGAGTCTGTTGACACATACTATGTCAAAGGACTTTCCAGAGACTTCCACAGATTTACATTTCCACCAGTGGTATAGGAGAGTCCTGACTCACCAAACATCAACAGCATTTTTGTATCTTACTCTCTGATCTTTGCAAGAATGCAAAGCTGCCAAATTGTATGCAGCAGTGAAGGGAATTTTACATTGAGTATAAACCAGTAGGTCCAGTATGTATTTTCTTCCTGAGTTTGCAGAATTTTCAGTGACCTCACGTCTTTAACCTCTGTCTCACTGAGTTGCTGATGAAACTGATCTGAAAAGCCAATTAAGATCATTCCTGGCCGGGCGCGGTGGCTCACGCCTGTAATTCCAGCACTTTGGGAGGCCAAGGTTGGTGGATCATGAGGTCAGGAGATCAAGACCATCCTGGCTAACACGGTGAAACCCCATCTCTACTAAAAATACAAAAAATTAGCAGGGCGTGGTGGCGGGCACCTGTAGTCCCAGCTACTGGGGAGGCTGAGGCAGGAGAATGGCGTGAACCCGGGAGGCGGAGCTTGCAGTGAGCTGAGATCGTGCCACTGCACCCCAGCCTGGGCGACAGAGCGAGACTCCGTCTCAACAACAACAACAACAAAGATCATTCCTGGCATCAGTATTTTAAATGGAAGAACAGCAGGCAGGAACTCTGACATCTCACCACCCTAGCTTTTAGTGATTGCCCTGGAGTGGTGCTGTCCACTTAAGTAACCCCTGGCCACATGTGGCTCTTGAGCACTGGAAATGTGGTTGATCCAAATTGAGATGTGAGGTTAAAACACATGCCAGGTTTCCAAGCCTTAGTATGAAGAAAAAGAATGTAAACTATCTCATTAATAAATTTTGTGTTGATGGGCTGGGTGCAGCGGCTCTCACCTGTAATTTCAGCACTTTGGGAGGCCGAGGTGGGAGGATCACTTGAGGCCAGGAGTTCAAGACCAGCCTGGGCAATATGATGAAACCCTGTCTCTACTAAAAATACAAAAATTAGCCAGGTGTGGGGGTGTGTACCTGTAATCCCAGCTACTTGGGAGGCTGAGGCAGGAGAATTGCTTGAACCCGGGAGGTGGAGGTTGCAGTGAGCTGAGATCACACCACTGCACTCCAGCCTGGGCAACAGAGTGAGTGAGACTTCATATTAAAATAATAATAATAATAATAAATACATAAATTTTGTATGGATGACATAAATTTTGTATGGATGACATAAATTTTGTATGGATGATATACTGAAATATTTTGAGTGTATTAGAATTAAAATATATCATTGAAATTGATATATCACCTGTCCATTTTTACTTTTATTAATGTGGCTACTAGAAAGTTTTAAATTACTGGGAAGCTGTGTCATATTTCAATTCATCAGAACTGCTCTGTGGTCTTCTTTTTCCCTTTGAAGATCCGCCATCCTGCAATCCCTGCTTCCTTTTCACCAGAGCAGCTTCCCTGAATCTTCTCCTGGAGGCTCTGCAGACCTTTTATTTAGTTTGGAAGATCACATTGCAGGATGGGACTGGGGCACTGGTTTCTGTGAGGAGCCTGGAGTGGTGAATTGTCCCTGGGATTCCCTTACCCTGGGAACTAACCCTTTCTGAGGGCAGAAAGCTAGAAAGAAGAGGAGTTGGGAGGAGATGCCTGTGCAAGCCCCAGCTCCCTTCAGGGCTCCCTCATCGCCCACAGGCTCTACCCCCACCTGCCTTTGCCTTAGGAGATGGCTTTTGGTGGTGGACTCACCCTCCTCTGATCTCTGTTTCATTTTTCCAATTGGTGATCCATCTTTTGTTCTGCAGTGCGTCCTTTTTTCTGGCTGCCTCCATTAGCTTGGTTTTTTTCTTTGTGTATTCCCTGGAGCTGCCTTACCAGGATCTCCAACTTCAGTCCCCATTGGTCTGTACCACTGGCCTGGGAAAGCCCCACTGAGGAGAGCAGACCCAGCTCCCAGATACCTGGTCCTGGTCCAACCTTGGTCTTTTTGCCTGGAAGAGAGAACCAGACCCTCTTCATCAACTGGACCCCCCCTTTACCAAGTAAAGAAAGGAAAGGATTGCCTGCCAGGGCCAGCAGATCTCTGGCTCTTTGGTGTTTCTGGTAATAAGTGCCCATGAACTTTAAATTGATCTCCAGTCTCCCATGGTATGGTTTTGGTCTACCCTTAGATTCTGTTTACCAGGACTGAGTTCAGTTTCTCTGCTTTCCTTTCCAACATCCATACCTTGTTAAGTTCTTGCTGAATTGAGCTAACTCTGCACACTTGATTAAATCTTAAGCCAGGGCTCTAGAAATGATAAAGCAGCCTCCTTGCCAGATGGCTGTCATATAATATATTGCTTTATTTAGGTGATTGTAAGTCAGGAGACTTTCCTTCAGTTTCTGCCTTTGATGGCAAGAGGTGGAGATACCTGTCTATGGCGGCGATTACAGAAAACATCTGGGAAGACAAGTCGCTGTTTTTATGGGAATCGTAGGCTTGGAAGAGACAGAAGCAGTGAGTAAAATGGGCCCCTCGTGGGAGGCGGGCAAAGGTCGGGAAAGGAGGGATGAAGGAAGTTGTGCAATACCCCTTCCCAGCTTTCTAAAAAATGGAGCATGACGTTGAAAAACGCTAAATCATGAAGTGAGAAGCGACTTCTTTCCAGTTTTCCCTCAGCCTTGTGATGATCTTAAAGAGAAAGTCTCAATTCTGTGCTACTGTGTCTTTAACATCTCTCAGATGCTTCCGAGAGAAAACAGGCCCCAACCGCAGCAGGACTAGCTGGAATACGGTAATATTGTTGTATTTCTGATGAATTAACTTTTGTGTTACTTTCTATGCATTGCAAAGGATTTTTTTTTTTTCCTGTTTCTAATGGTGACATAACATTCCTTTAAAATTATTAGCATTTTCAAAACTCAATTGAAAACAAAAAGTTAAGCAAATAAAGTATGGGTGTGTCTCAATTATGGCAAGAACAACCAAAAAGTGACTATGGTGGGGATGTTGAACGTTTAGAAAACACTGTCCTAAAAGAAGAAGGTACAGAGAGTAGTCTGATATCTGGGAATACTAGATTTTAAAATTATTCTCTTGCCAATTTTATTCATTCATTCACCATGTGCCACAATAATTTTTTTAAGTCTTTGTTCGATTTTGCAGATTCCAGAAAGAAATTGGAAATTGAAGATTTAAAGAATGTTGTTTTAAAATATTCTAACTTCAGAGAATGATGCCAGGAACTTAAAAAGGTATTATTAACTGCTCATTTAAATTTAATATTGTCAACTGGTATGCTTTAAATGAGCCAATTCTTTAAAGCTAAGGATCCTAAAGTGGGTCATAGAATTGACTGCCATGGAAAATAGCCGGGCGTGGTGGCTCACGCCTGTAATCCAAACAATTTGGGTGGCCGAGGCAGGCAGATCACTTGAGGTCAGGAGTTCAAGACCAGCTTGGCCAACATGGTGAAACCCTGTCTCTACTAAAAATACAAAAATTAGCTGGGTGTGGTGACACACACCTGTAGTTCTAGCTATTCCGGTGGCTGATGCAGGGTAATTGCTTGAGCTCGGGAGGCAGATGTTGCAGTGAGCCAAGATTGTGCCACTGCACTCCAGCCTGGGCCACACAGTGGGACTCTGCCAAAAAAAAAAAAAAAAAGAAAAAGAAAAAAAGAAAAAGGAGAAAAGGCTGGATTAGCATTTAATAACTTTTATTGGAACAATAACCAATATTTTCATCCCTTTAAATTTTTTTGGTGAGGATCTCTTGCCCTTCTGTTGCTGATAATTTTAAATTGTACTCTTTCCTGCTCTATCATTTGGGTTCTAAAAAGAAAGCTATTGCATGGGGTCTGGCATTTGATAGGTTAAAAAAAGAAAACATGGAAGCGTGTCAAAGAGCAGGAGACTCATGTGCCCTTGGTGGAAAAAAAATTGAAAACCACTGGACCTGAATGTTAACGGATGTGGCTTGTGAAACATATTAATGATGTTGATAGTGTTAAAAGATCTATGAACTTTTTTTTTGAACTACAAAAAAACTTTTTTTTTAAACTCTCTCTCTGAAATGCATGGGTTTTCCTGCCTAGACAAACGACAAAGTGGCCAATTCCAGGCCTTTCCGTTTCCAAGATCATTTTACACATGCAAGTATGCCTGGACAAGAAGAGGCTGAAGGGTCTTCTATGGGATTTAAAAAAAAAATTATTATTATTATTTGCTGTTATTGTTACAAGGAAGGTAGTGAGTTCAATTTTGGGATAACTCAGATAAACCCAAGTGTTTTTTAATGCCCAAATAAAATAGCTTGGGTCCCTGTTCCTACCCAGACAAGAAACTCAGCACTTGTTTTCAAGGGTTTCCAGAGAGATGCCTCTCTTGGGAATCTAATCCCGGGAACTCCGTGCTGGCTCTCCCTCTTCCTCCTGCACCTCTGCCCTCCCTCTGTCCCGCTTCATGCCACATGGGGCCATTGCTTCTCCCTCCTTCCCCAGGGTGCTTGTGTATAATAGACTTTGCTGAAGGTCAAGGACACGGGGGAAGAGGTTATAGCACAAACCAAAATGGGCAACAGTGACTGAGACATCACTGTCCACAGGTTCCTTGGCTCTGGCTACCACAGGAGACTTCATGCTGTTGTCTCTCTCCTTAGGCTATTTTGTGCTGAGACCCTGTCTCCCACCAAACCCCACAGGCCCTTCTTTCCCAGTTCTGGGCCTGTTCCCTGCTTGGGGAATGCAGAAACCTCCAAGCCCTGTTAGCCTTATTATGTAAAATAATACACCTTTCCATCTCTATCTCAGTCTAAGGTCGAAGCACACTTTTGCTTTATAGTAAGAATGAAGAAGTTTTGATTTAAAAATAAAAAAGGGTTAGCTATCTCTGGTCACCTACTCTAGTGATGTAACCCTCAAGCGCAAACAATTAAATTATGATTTTTTTTTTCTTTAATGCATCTAAGATAAAAGTTTTGTTGCAGACAGGACCTTGCTCTGTAACCCAGGCTTGACTGCAGTGCTGTGATAACAGCTCACTGCAGCCTTGAACTCCTGTGCTCATGTGATCCTCCTGCCTTAGCCTCCCCAATAGCTAGGACTACAGGTGTGCGCCACCATGCCTGGCTAATTTTTTTTATTTTTTGAGAGATGGGGGTCTCACTATGTTGCACAGGCTCGTCTCAAATTACTGGCCTTACTTCAAGCTATCTGCCCATCTCAGCCTCCCAAAGCACTGGGATTACAGTCATGAGCCAACTTGCCTGGCCAGATAAAGGTCTTAAGCATGGCTCCTTCCTGCTCTAGGTAGAGAAACCCAGGACCAGTGGGAGGTGGGGTGGGCTCTTTCTGTAGCTTTTGCTTTGCTGATGATGTCATTGGTCTCTTCAGGGGATGCACAGAGTAGCAGGGGCCCTGGAGGGCAGGGCCTGAATCCTGATTGCCCTACTGCTGGGAGGACACACACAGCTGAAGATGAATTTCGGAAAAGTAGCCACTTGCTACTTTAACTATGGAAGAGCAGGGCCACAGTGAGATGGAAATAATCCCATCAGAGTCTCACCCCCACATTCAATTACTGAAAAGCAACCGGGAACTTCTGGTCACTCGCATCCGCAACACTCAGTGTCTGGTGGACAACTTACTGAAGAATGACTACTTCTCCACCGAAGACGCCGAGATTGTGTGTGCCTGCCCCACCCAGCCTGACAAGGTGCCCCGGGGACAGGGACGGGCATGGGCATTGTGTGGACCCCGGGAGCTGGAAGAGGCCTCTCCCTGCTGATCTGAGTGAAGAGCGTGGGAGTTTAGTCCAGGGGGCAGGGCTGCACTTTGGGGTACTAATAGCACACAAATGCCTGGGTTAGCAGGTTGCACAATCAGGTCTTTCACTCCTGTGTTTGTGTCTGGAGCAAACCCTGACATCTCAGTTCTCATTGCTGTGTGTATTGGTTCCCAGACACTTCATTTTTGGATCCTCTTTAAATTAGGAGGGAAAAAGAACATAAGCATAAAAGCATCTGCAGCAGTGATGTTCGTTCAGTGCCTCTGAAGACTGGAGGGTGCTCACTGCTGGGTGAGACTCGGAGGGGGACTGCCTCAGGTTCAGGAATGATGACATCCCATGGTGGGTCCACAGCGAAGGATCTTCCCCGCTCCACTGTGGGGCGCCTTAACAGCCCTTACTTTCACTGAAGTTTTACGTTATCTCCTGAAAAATAAAATAGAGACCACAAATTCCTTCTTGGTTAGAGGAATGACACAACCCGTTTATGACATGACCCCGCTGGGATTCAGAAGAGACCAGGACTGTTTCTGGGGGAAGCAGTAGCACACTCGTGTGCTTTGTTATCTTCTCTTGGTTTATTTTGCTGCATTTTTAACAAGAAAAAAAAAGCCGTTTTTAACATATGGCCTGTCACCCTCCTGCTATGTGGCCGGGTGCCCACCTCATTATGACCAAGGGGTAGCTCTCCCCCTCCACTCTCATTCCTGCACGGCAGTTGTGTCAGGTTAAGAGGGACAAGGAGAAAGCTGGGCCCCATGGCTCACGCCTGTAATCCCAGCACTTTGGGAGGCCGAGGCAGATGGATCACCTGAGGTCAGGAGTTTGAGACTAGCCTGGCCAACATGGTGAAACCCCGTCTCTAATAAAAATACAAAAATTAGCGGGTGTGGTGGCAGGTGCCTGTAATCCCAGCCACTTGGGAGGCTGAGTCAGGAGAATCCCTTGAACCTAGGAGGTGGAGGTTGCAGTGAACCAAGATTGTGCCATTGCACTCCAGCCTGGGTAACAGAGCGAGACTCTGTCTCAAAAAAAAAAAAAAAAAAAAAAAAAAAAGAGGGAAAAGGAGGAAGAGAGAGAATTCCATAGCTACTTGTCTGTCCTTTTTGTTTTTCGGCTCGTGGAAGCCTCCTGGTTCCTTTGAGCTGGGTGGTTTTATTTCTTGCTCAGGAGGTCATTTTTCAGATTTTAGGGCTCCAACATGTTGACTGTCACAGCAACTGGGGGGATGGCATAGCTACCGGCTGTAGTAAGAACTCAGAGCCCTGCCCTGAGCCTGCCTGAGGGTCCTTATGGTAGGAAGATACCTCTCATGCCGCCCCATGCCCTCATGCTTGTGTCGCCTCCAGGTCCGCAAAATTCTGGACCTGGTACAGAGCAAGGGCGAAGAGGTATCCGAGTTCTTCCTCTACTTGCTCCAGCAACTTGCAGATGCTTACGTGGACCTCAGGCCTTGGCTGCTGGAGATCGGCTTCTCCCCTTCCCTGCTCGTTCAGAGCAAAGTCGTGGTCAACACTGACCCAGGTAGGAGTCAGCCCCAGCGAGACCGCAGGCACCAGTGCAAGCAGGGCCCTGGGGTTTGGTAATGGCTGGGCAGCCCTGAGTGCCACCTCAGGAAGCAGGCCCAGGTGCTACTTTGATTTTAGAAAGGAACAGCGGAACCCTGTCACCCAAGTGCAGCCCAGGTGGCTGCTATTGAACTGCCCACACCTCGATGGGCTGGTTTATAGAAGGGCCTGTGGAAGTGTGGGAATGGCCTCTGTTCTAACCGCTTGCATTCTTCCTATTCTGACATATGTAGACATTTTAATGGTTGCACAAATTCAAGGTTGTATTTTTTTTCTTTAAAAAAAATCTTTAGCTGGACATGGTAGCACACACCTGTAGTTCCAGCTACTCAGGTGGCTGAGGCAAGAGGATTGCTTGAGCCCAGGAGTCTGAGGCTGCAGCGAGCTGTGATTGTGCCCCTACACTTCAGCCTGGGTGACAGAGTGAGACCCTGTCTCTGAAAAAGGAAAGAAAAAAATTAAAAAGCCTTGCCAGTTTTGATTCTAAGCAAGGTATTCTGTCACCCTTGGGTGCCAGTCCTTATTTCCAAAGCACCATGGGAGACCCCATTAGTTAATTGATTCGTTCAATAAGTATTTTTTGCTGTACCCATTACATGCCAAGACCCTACCCTGTGCTGAATGTCAGGGAGACAGTGGTGAGCAAACACAGATAGGGTTCCTGCCCTCAGGGAGCTTCAAGTCTGCTGGAAGAGACCGCCAGTCAGCAATCTCACAAATGTGCCCTTGCAAATGGCAGTCAGCACAGCGGCCAGTCCAACGCACATGAGAAGATATCATTGGGGCCAGGATCTGCTCTGGGGCAGGAGTCTTCTTTCTCTGCTTTTGAACTCTCCACTTTGAGACAGCTGTTGGTAACATACCAGCACCAAGGACCCAAATCCTGCCTTTTAAAGAATCCAGTATGTCATTGGAAACAGAAGCACAAGACAGGTGTGTGCTTAGGGGAAACAAGGCCAGCCGGCCGAGTGTCAGGGCTAGGCTCCGGCTTCCACGGCCCCTGCAGGTGCCTGCCAGCCACTGCCAGCTTCTGACTCTTGTCTGCTCCTTCCTGCTTTCCCTTGTTTCCTTCCCCCATGAAAAAAAAAAAAAAAAAAAAAAAGGAAAATGTTCCCATGAGGAATCATTCTTTTGAAAGACTTCTCTGTTGGTTCTGTTAGCCAGCTACTTTATTAGCTTTTAAAGTGTAATTCACTCTACAAGCAGCCTCACACAAAAGACTACATATTGTATGATTCTGTTTATATGAAAGGTCCAGAAAAGGTAAATCTATAGACAAAGCATATCAGTAGTCGCCTACGGCCCAGGGATTGGCTGCAAATAGGCTCCAGAAAACTGGGAAAATGGTGATGATCTAGAACTGGACTGTGGTGAGGTTTGCACAACTTTGTAAACTTACTAAAAATTATTGACGAATATATAACACTCCCTAACACTTTGGGTGGCCGAGGCGGGCAGATCGCTTGAGCCCAGGAGTTTGTGACCAGGCTGGGCAACATGGCGAGACCCCATCTCTACAAAAAACACAAAAATTAGTTGGGCGTGGTGGCATATGCCTGTGGTCCCAGCTACTTGGGAGGCTGAGGTGGGAGGATTGCTTGAGCCTGGGAGTTTGAGACTGCAGTAAGCTATGATTGGGCCACTGCACCCTAGCCTGAGTGACAGAGCAGGACCCTATCTCTAACAACAAAAAAGCGGTGTTGGTGGAGGAGGGCCAGCATGGCCATCTGACCTGGCCCTCAAGTGCGAGGGGCTTCAGCGTTTAACTGCAGTTCAATGATGACACCATGCAGAGGAATAAGGGTGGCCTATCTCAGACACTGATCCCAGTCGAAGTCTGTCACCTTCTCTCTGGCTAAATCTGAGGTCAAGCAGAGGGATGGAAGCCCAGGGACCTCAGGGTCAGGAATGCTGGCTCTGTGACGCTCCCCAGGTCTGCATCTGAGGAGTGGCTGCGCTGGCCTCAGGGTCCAGGTTGTGAATTTTGTTTATGCACTCGCCTCTCCTCTTTGAGACCTCCCTGTTTGATGCTGTTTCTGCCTCTCTCCTTCTCACTCTGCTGCCGTGCCCTCCAGTGAGCAGGTACACCCAGCAGCTGCGACACCACCTGGGCCGTGACTCCAAGTTCATGCTGTGCTATGCCCAAAAGGAGGAGCTGCTGCTGGAGGAGATCTACATGGACACCATCATGGAGCTGGTCGGCTTCAGCAATGAGAGCCTGGGCAGCCTGGACAGCCTGGCCTGCCTCCTGGACCACACCACCGGCATCCTCAATGAGCAGGGCGAGACCATCTTCATCTTGGGCGATGCTGGGGTGGGCAAGTCCATGCTGCTGCAGCGGCTGCAGAGCCTCTGGGCCACGGGCCGGCTAGACGCAGGGGTCAAATTCTTCTTTCACTTTCGCTGCCGCATGTTCAGCTGCTTCAGGGAAAGTGACAGGCTGTGTCTGCAGGACTTGCTCTTCAAGCACTACTGCTACCCGGAGCAGGACCCTGAGGAGGTGTTCGCCTTTCTGCTGCGCTTCCCCCATGTGGCCCTCTTCACCTTTGACGGCCTGGACGAGCTGCACTCGGACTTGGACCTGAGCCGCGTGCCTGACAGCTCCTGCCCCTGGGAGCCTGCCCACCCCCTCGTCCTGCTGGCCAACCTGCTCAGCGGGAAGCTGCTCAAGGGGGCTAGCAAGCTGCTCACGGCCCGCACAGGCATCGAGGTCCCGCGCCAGTTCCTGCGGAAGAAGGTGCTTCTCCGGGGTTTCTCCCCCAGCCACCTGCGTGCCTATGCCAGGAAGATGTTCCCCGAGCGGGCTCTGCAGGACCACCTGCTGAGCCAGCTGGAGGCCAACCCCAACCTCTGCAGCCTGTGCTCTGTACCCCTCTTCTGCTGGATCATCTTCCGGTGCTTCCAGCACTTCCGTGCCGCCTTCGAAGGCTCACCACAGCTGCCCAACTGCATGATGACCCTGACGGACGTCTTCCTGCTGGTCACTGAGGTCCACCTGAACAGGATGCAGCCCAGCAGCCTGGTGCAGCGGAACACACGCAGCCCGGTGGAGACCCTCCGCGCCGGCCGGGACACTCTGTGCTCGCTGGGGCAGGTGGCCCACCGGGGCATGGAGAGGAGCCTCTTTGTCTTCACCCAGGAGGAGGTGCAGGCCTCCGGGCTGCAGGAGGGAGACATGCAGCTGGGCTTCCTGCGGGCTTTGCCGGAGCTGGGCCCCGGGGGCGACCAGCAGTCCTATGAGTTTTTCCATCTCACCCTCCAGGCCTTCTTTACAGCCTTTTTCCTTGTGCTGGACGACAAGGTGGGCACTCGGGAGCTGCTCAGGTTCTTCCAGGAGTGGATGCCCCCTGGGGGGGCAGCGGCCGCATCCTGCTATCCTCCCTTCCTCCCGTTCCAGTGCCTGCGGGGCATCGGTCCATCATGGGAAGACCTCTTCAAGAACAAGGATCACTTCCAGTTCACCAACCTCTTCCTGTGCGGGCTGTTGTCCAAAGCCAAACAGAAGCTCTTGCGGCACCTGGTGCCCGCGGCGGCCCTGAGGAGGAAGCGCAAGGCCCTGTGGGCACACCTGTTTTCCAGCCTGCGGGGCTATCTGAAGAGCCTGCCCCGAGTTCAGGTCGAAAGCTTCAACCAGGTGCAGGCCATGCCCACGTTCATCTGGATGCTGCGCTGCATCTATGAGACGCAGAGCCAGAAGGTGGGGCAGCTGGCGGCCAGGGGCATCTGCGCCAACTACCTCAAGCTGACCTACTGCAATGCTTGCTCGGCTGACTGCAGCGCCCTGTCCTTCGTCCTGCATCACTTCCCCAAGCGGCTGGCCCTAGACCTGGACAACAACAATCTCAACGACTACGGCGTGCGGGAGCTGCGGCCCTGCTTCAGCCGCCTCACCGTTATCAGGTGAGGCTGCCAGGCAAGGGGAGCAGCAGGTGGGCCTGGCGGGACAGGTTCAGGGGGCACCAGGATCCTGTAGGACTCACGACCAGGGGCCTTGGAATGTCCAGACCTTTTCTCTCTCAGCGGGGCGGAGGGCAAGGTGCAAAGCTTCGGGGCAGGTGGACCTGGATCAGCCACAGCTGGGTGCCCTTGAAGAAAGTGCTTAACTCTCAGAGCCTCCGTGCCCTCATCTGGAAAAAGAAAATGCTCACAATCCTGTCAATTATGGCCACAAGAACCAATGTTAATTGAGAATGGGTGAAGTGCATTACAAATATCACCAATGGAGTGCTCTTTACAACCCTATAACTTAGGTACTGTTACTGTCTCTATTTTGGCAGATGAGGAAGTGGAGGCACAGAGAAGTTAATAGCTTGCTTTAGGTCACACAGCTCAGACATGGTAGTGCCAGAATGCATAAAGAACCTTCCTTTTAAGATTAATGTAAGGCTCCGAGATAGCCCTCAAAACGTTTCTGGAATATGGGAGCTTTTATTATTGCAAAGAAAGCAGACCTTGTGCCAGTTGGCATTGGTGACTTTCTGTGATCAAAGTCAGCAGCCCTTCGCACTGCTAGAGATCTCAGCTAAAATGCTAACTCGTGGTTGTTTTCCTGTTCCATAGTTTAGGGGAAACAGAGGCCAGTCTGTTTTCTTCTATTAGCATTTCCTGTGTAAAATAAACCTTGTAAATTTCTACAGGGGGTTAAATTCGCCATTACTTGACTCATGCATTTCTGAAGAGCAGTAGGCATTTAGAACTGACTCCCAGTGCCTGTCACACCAGTGTCAGAGTGTAAATTGCATGGGGACATGGGGTGCAGGGGGCCGAAGGCTGCCCTAGCCTGGGAATTAGAAAACCTGCAGTCTGTTCTCTGTACTCTCAGCCAGTGACTCTCCCTCTGTAGCCCTAGGCAGTCTCACACTCAGTGCTACCCTCTGTCCATCTTGTTTTTTGCCCCCGCCCCAGATGGAGTCCTGCTCTGTTGCCCAGGCTGGAGTACGGTGGTGCAATCTCAGCTCACTGAAACCTTCACCTCCCGGGTTCAAGCGATTCTCTCGCCTCAGCCTCGCGAGTAGCTGGGATTACAGGCACACGCCACCATGTCCGGCTAAGGTTTTTGTATTTTTAGTAGGATGGGTTTCCCCTTGTTGGCCAGGCTGGTCTCGAAATCCTGACCTTGGGTGATCCGCCCGCCTCGGCCTCCCAAAGTGCTATGGTTACAGGCGTGAGCCGCCGCGCCCGGCCCCTCTGTCCATCTTTTAAATGGGAAACTCTACACTAGTGTGGTAGCCCTGCCCTTCCTACTGTCCCCAGGTGAAGCTTTCCTTCACACCAGTGAGAGAAAAAGCAGCTTGTAGGAAAGCAGAGGGTGTGAGTAACCACGGGAAGCACACTCAGCTCTCTGGCTGCGTCAGTTAGGATTAATTTTAGCTGAGAGAGAAAACCCCAAATCTTGGTGACTTACAAACTTATTTCTCTCATGTAAAAGTCTAGAGGTAGGTAGTTCAGGACTGCTATGGAATCTCCATGACCCTCCGGAGCCCAGGCTCTCTTCTGCCTTGCTGCTCTGCCATCCTCACTACCTGGCTTTCACATCTTGGTCCAAGAGGGCTGCTCAGACTCCAGCCATCTAGTCGACACTCTGGCTCTCAGTAAGAAGAAAGGGCAAAGATTGAGGGCATGCCTCAAAGTTTTAAGAACACCTCTTGGCTATTACTAATTATACTGCTGCTTCGATTTCAGAACTTAATAGTATGGGCAATAGTATTTCAGAACTTAATCAGATGGGCCCAGCTAAAAGATGGGGGAATCTATTCCTAAGAAAGTATAGATATTGGGAATGTCCAGTAGCCTGTGCCATCTTGGGCTGGCCATGCCGTGTACATGCACACTATTTCCCAGCCCAAGCTGGGGATTCTGAGGGGAAGGGTCCAGAGTGTCTGACTTGATCATTTTGATGTGGCCTAAAAATCAAGCTTTTAATTGTTCAGCATTTTACTTGTTATCAAGGTCAGCTTGTGGGTCTAACTGGGACCATGGCTTGTGTTTGTAAGTAAAGGTTTGTTGGAACACAGCCATACCCATTTATTTACTTACTGGCTGCTTCACACTACACAGTTGAGTAGTTGTGACAGAGACCACAGGGCCCACAGAGCCTAAAATATTTGCTGTCCGACACTTTACAGAATGACATGAACAGTCTCCTTAGACAAAAGGACCCATAGCCTTTTCCAGAGACAAGTCAGGGTTAGCCCATGTGTTTCTGGATGGGGGGAGGCTGTTGGCATTTTGGGTGCAACAGTTCTTGTGAGACCTGTCCAGCATTTTGCAGGACACCTCACATCACTGGCCCTGCCCACAAGATGACAGGGCACTCCCTCCTCCAGTCACAACCACTAAAAGCAGCCCCTGATGTTTCCAAACCCATGCCCTCCACCACATGAGAACCAGGTACAGGGTCTGGCTAACACATAGGCCACACGCAAAGGGTGGATGTCAGAGGTGGCTGGCCTCACGTGTCCTCCCTGTGTCCCTCATGGTCATGTGAGGAGCCAGGGGCTGTGCTGCATCCTCACCTATGGGCTGGTGCAGGACGGGTCTGGTGGCCCCACATTGGCCAGGCTTTGTAAGGGGCTATTTGGCTGGTTACTGCAGTCATTCTCCAGGGCCGTCTATACTGGGGAAAACTCCAGGGCCTGAAGGTTTCTGGATCTTTGTAAGATTAATGATCCTTCATAATGAGTGCCTACCCTGACTTGTAATTTTTTTGCTGTTTGTTTCAGACTCAGTGTAAACCAGATCACTGACGGTGGGGTAAAGGTGCTAAGCGAAGAGCTGACCAAATACAAAATTGTGACATATTTGGGGTATGTCTTTCTCCAGAACACTGGGCTAACTACCTAGTAATAATACAGAGCTGCAGGGAATTCACATTCCTGTGGGTCTCTGGATGATCCGCATGGATGGCCCAGGGCTGGGGAGGGCGCTGGCCCAGGAGTTGAGAGTCCTGGGTTCTCTTTGTGGCTGGGCCAGTCATGAAGTCTTGCTGAGCCTCAGCCTCCTAACCTATAAAATTGGGATCCCAGTATAGGCAAGAAGGTTTACAACTTGTTATTGGGGGATGCAAAGAGAATATAAGGGGATATGTTGAATAAATGTTAGAATCCTGTTTACATATTAGTCTGGACTATTTTGGGTCCAGAATCCCTCATCCAGAGCCTTTGGGGCAAGACCCGAAAGGGATTCTGAGTGCATGCTGCGGCCTGATGTGGCCACATGGGTCTACGGCAGTGCCCCATTTTCAAACACTCATATTTCTCTCGCAGAATGGATGAAACAGTCAAACCAAGTGTGGTAAGAAAGACTATAAATAGCTCCACATCAGTTGCCAAAAGAATTGTGAGAAACTCTGGGCGTTCAGAGCCTTTGAGGTTTTGGAGCCTGAGACAAGGGATTGCGGGCCAGCCCCACACCACTGGTGGCTCTGCAAGCTGGAGCAGTTGTTCAGTTTCTTGGGGCCTCAGTGGCCTTCAATGTGAATGAGGACATGGATGCAAACGACCCCAGGCCACACTCGGCTCCAGGGCTCTGTGTGGCTGTGGAACCCTGGAAGCCTGAGCTTAGCTGCCTTTCAACTTCCATCTGCTGTATTATTGAATTGGCATTGAGTGGTGAGATGGCTGAAAGGTAGACATCAAGAAGTTTCAATATTCAGCATCTTTTCTTCTCAAGTTGCTGAATGTAATCTTAGTTGTAAATACCCACCACCTGCCAGTCACTGCACACTCATGCACCAGGGCTTTGCGTTATGTCCTAAGATCCTCAGAACCACCCTGCAAGGGGGCTATCATCATTACCCCTGTATTAAAGATGGAGAAACTGGGGCATAGAGAGGTGAGGTGACTTGTCTCAGGCCATAAAGCTGGGGAAAGTAGTGGAGCTGGATTGAACCTGGGCTGTGAGACCTCAGAGCCCTGAACTCTGGTGCCTGTGTGTTCCCCTTTCAACCCAGACTTTGGAAATCAGTAGACAGCACGTGCTTCAAAAAATAGGGGCTATTAAAATGACATCAGGAGCCAGAAAGTCTCATGGCTGTGCTTTCTCTTGAAGTTTATACAACAACCAGATCACCGATGTCGGAGCCAGGTACGTCACCAAAATCCTGGATGAATGCAAAGGCCTCACACACCTTAAGTAAGTGGGGTAGACACCAGGTTCCTTAGTATCTTCTCTTGGTCACCCCCTTCTGTTGTTCAAAGATTACATGTCACGATAAAGAGCTTTCATCCTAAAGCCTTCCACTTGTCCCAGGGCCATGATGATCAAATAAGGATACCTCTGTGTGATCCGTGAGGCTTGGATTCTGGAAGGGCCACCTGTCGTTGGTAGGGGGAAAGGTTGGCATTTTGATTTCAGTAACTACTGGCCCAAAGAAAGGACTAACTCTCACCCTTTCTGGTGGTCTTTTTGCCCCAAGGGAGTTTCCTGTCTGGTTGCAAGAGCTTGGGCCCTTGCCCTGCTGTAGATGTGCCCTGCCCAGAGGGTGACAGTGTGCTAGGTTTGGAGCCTCTGGTCCTGCCCTGACAGTGGCCACATACCTTAACCCTTGGCAGTCAAAGTGGGACCTCTCAGGTCTCCCAAGGGAAGTCAGTAATGCTGCTGAGGTCACTTAAGAGGACCTTAGGGAGGGCTCGGGTCCCTGAGCTTTTGCACAGACTGTGGGCCATCTCCTGGAGAGGAACCCTAACTGACTGTCCTCAGGGCTTCAGGTCCCTCCCTGACAGGAGGCCCAGGACATGGCTCCTGTGGATCCCAGAAGAAAGTGCACAGTTCCCAAGATGGGGCTGAAAGGGGCTCTGTGCTGGGGAGGAGGGTGGCCCACGTTGGAACCCCTGCATAGCTGGAGGCTGACTGTGTGTGACTCTCTCTGCAGACTGGGAAAAAACAAAATAACGAGTGAAGGAGGGAAGTGTCTCGCCCTGGCTGTGAAGAACAGCAAATCAATCTCTGACGTTGGGTGAGTAGAAGGGGGCGGAAGTATGTGGTACAACCTGCTGTGTGTGTATATGGGCCCCTGCTGTTCTTTTCACACATCAGTCTACCAGAAGGACCGTTGGGGCTCGCTATCGGGGAGAGACAGTGGAGAGCTTTCACCATGCTGCAAAACTGAAACCATGCCCATTAAGCAATAACTCCCTGCTCCCCTCTCCCCTGCCCCTTGCAGCCACCCTTCTACTTACTCTCTCTATGGTTTTGACTACTTTTCCTCATGTAAGTGGAATCATACAGTATTTGCCTTTTGGGGATGGCTGATTTCACTAGCATCATGTCCTCAAGGTTCATCCATGTTGAAGCATGGGACAGGGTTTCCTTTTTTTTTTTTTTTTTTTTTTTTTTTTGGCAGAGTCTCACTCTGTTGCCCGGGCTGGAGTGCAGTGGCATGATCTCGGCTCACTGCAACCTCTACCTTCTGGGTTCAAGCAGTTCTCCCACCTCAGCCACACAAGTAGCTGGGATTACATGCACCCGCCACCGATCCCAGCTAATTTTTGTATTTTTAGTAGAGGCAGGGTTTCACCACATTGGCCAGGCTGGTCTCAAACTCCTGACCTCAAACGATCCACCCACCTTGGTCTCCTGATGTGTTGGGCTTATAGGCGTGAGCCACCATGCCCGGCCAGGATTTCCTTCTTTTTTAAGGCTGAGTAATATTCCATTGTGTGGCTTTGCCACGTTTTGTTTACTCATTCTCCAAGAACAGACACTGGCTTGCTTCTATGCTTTGGCTATTGTGAATAATGCTGCTGTGCACATGGGCATACAAATATCTCTTCAAGGGACTGCCTTCAATTCTTTTGGGCATATATCCAGCAGTGGGATTGCTGGATCCCGTGGTAATTTTTAATTTTTTGAAGAATCATCATAGTGTTTTCCACAGCAGCAGCACCAGTTTACGTTCCCACCAACAGTGCATTCCAGTTTCTCCACATCCTTGCCAACACTTGCTATTTTCTCTTTTTGACAGTACCCATCCTAATGAGTGTGAGGTAGTGTCTTATTGTGGTTTTGATTCTTGAGGCTTTTTAAAGCTTTTTGTATCATTTTAATTTTTATTGGATTATAAAAGGAACACAGGTAATTTTATTTGGAAACTATGAAAAATAATACAAATGATCTTCTCAGAAAATAATTCTTGTTAACATTTAAGCTCAGTTAAGCTCTCTCACTTTCTCTTTCTTCCTCTCTCTCTTTGTACTACTTTAAAAATATATAGTAGGGGTCAGACTGTATGTACAGAGTTTTATCCTTGCTTTTTCACTTCATCTCATGCCTTGAGTAGCTTTCCACTTTATTAAAAATGTGATGCCATTCAATTGTATAGTAAATACATATATTTAAGCAAAACACTGAAAACGCTTATTCTGGGTTCCAACAAGCCATTCCTGGAATGGTGTAAGCAGGTAGTTTGCTTGGTGCGAACGTGTTGTTGAGGCAGCTGCCATTGTGTTGTGAGTGGGCCACACGAACTTGCTTTGTTGTGTGTCAACAGTGCATGCTGATCCTATTGGGAACAACCAACACTTTGTGCGAACCACACACTGTTTTAAGTGCTTTGCATCTGTTCACTCAATGAATCCTCACAACAACTCCACGAGGGAATGCTCTAATTATCCCCATTTTATAGACGAGAGACTGAGATCCAAGAGACTACGTAATTTCCCGAAGTCCGCACAGGTAGCAGATGGCAGAACCAGGTCAGGAGACCACCATCTTACCATGCAGACTGTTTTAGCCAGAGCCTCTCTGGATTTGCTGTAGGGGAGAGAATACAGCTTTATTGCTGCAGCTCTCCACCAAGATGGCCACAGCCGCAGAGCTTAGTTGGGTAACGTCCTCTTTATGTGACAGGAACATTGCTGATAGGGTTTCTGAAGGTATTTCATGCTCTTTGTCTCCTGGAAGACCATGTCTTCGGGAATGTCTCTGACCCTGCCCAGAGTTGAGCAGTTGCTGGGAACCCAGCACCTGCACATGGCCTTCCCTCCAGGCCTCTGCGAACCTCTGTTCTCCACAGGAGACATCCAAGTGCTTCGTCTCATGAGTTCAGGCTCCCAGGCTGACAGCTCTCTGAAGCTCACGGTGAGGCTCGGTCTCTAACTGTGCTACTTGCCGATGGCCTCTGTTCACAAGGCTTCACCTGCTCTTCGGTCTTGCATCACTCCTTGAATTTGAAATCCAGAACAGCCCACTCAGAGGCCAGCGTGAGGAATTAAGTGTCCAGGCCACAGATCCAGGGACTGGGCACAAACATCTGTCTGTTGAGTAGGAACTGAGCTGTGGCCATTGGCAAAAAAGGAGGGGTGAGCGTGGCTGTTTTTGGGGGAGCTAACATTCACTATCTTGTCTCCTCCCTCAGGATGTGGGGCAATCAAGTTGGGGATGAAGGAGCAAAAGCCTTCGCAGAGGCTCTGCGGAACCACCCCAGCTTGACCACCCTGAGGTAACTGCGGCCCTGCTGTCTCCAGGGGCCAACCTGGTCCCTCCTAGCTGCTCTAGGTTTGCTGGGGAAGAGTGATTGGCACTCCTAATAGAAGAGGGATTTGCATGTGTGATTTTCCTTACTCTTGTCAAACCTTTTTTGATGCATAAGAGGCCATCTAGTACGGCACATTCTTCTCTTTCTTTAACTTTAAGTTCTGGGATACATGTAGAGGATGTGCAGGTTTGTTACATAGGCAAACGTGTGCCATGGTGGTTTGCTGCACCTGTCAACCTGTCATCTAGGTTTTAAGCTCTGTGTGCATTAGGTATTTGTCCTAATGCTCCCCCTCCCCTTACCCCACCCGCTGACCGGCCGGGGTGTGTGATGTTCCCCTCCCTGTGTCCTTGTGTTCTCATTGTTCAACTCCCACTTATGAGTGAGAACATGTAGTGTTTGGTTTTCTGTTCCTGTGTTAGTTTGCTGAGGATGATGGCTTCCAGCTTCATCCATGTCCCAGCAAGGGACATGATCTCATTCTTTTTTTTTTAATATGACTGCAATGGAATACTTCCATGATGTATATGTGCCACATTTTCTTTATCCAGTCTGTGATTGAAGGGCATTTGGGTTGGTTCCAAGTCTTTCCTATGTAAATAGTGCTGCAATAAACATACGTGTGCATGTGTCTTTAGAGAAGAATGAAGTATAATCCTTTGGGTATATACCCAGTAATGGGATTGCTGGGTCAAATGGTATTTCTGGTTCTAGATCCTTGAGGAATCACCTTAAGTATTTATTCAGCTCAGTGAATTCTGCATGTGTCCCACAGCAGCCAACCACCCCCACCATCAAGACAGAGGACATTTCCAGCCCCTCAGCCATCCCTGCATGCCCCTTGCTGGTAGAGGGAGGGTTTCCTAAGTGCAGATAAAACTTAATAAGATGCTGGCCAGCAGGTTCCTGCCCCTTCCTTGTCCTCAGGATGATGCTAGAAAAGAGGGACTCTTCCTCTCTATAAACAGGGATGCTTCCACCCAGCCCCCGCTTAGGCTGCTGGCCAAATCCTGAGGCCTTGGTATGTCCAAGGCTCTGCTGCTGTCCTTTCTACCACTGAAAAAGAGTCCAAGAAGGTGGGGGCAGTAGCAGAAGAGACTTCACCAGGTCTCGCAGATGGGGTCCCTTGATGGGGCCAGCCTTTAGAAGCACAGCTTACCAGGCCTCTCCAGCCTCCTGCCCATGTGCGGAAACCTGAGGCACCGGCCCCAGCCCACCGTTGTGTGAGCAGGCTGTGCTGATGGCCCGTTTTTCGTCCGGCCTCCCCTTGTGCTCTCTGTGTGGGCTCTGGGGCAGCAACGCCTGGGCACTGCTGCTGCAGCTGAGCACTTCTGCGTCCTGCCCCGAGTGAGTCTGGGCTGGGGCCATGACCAGGCAGAGGCTTCCCAGCTGTTCTGATGTTGAAGCTAAGATTGAATGTAGATATGTCTCTAATAATTCACCCCAAGCATGTTCCTTCCTAGTCTTGCGTCCAACGGCGTCTCCACAGAAGGAGGAAAGAGTCTCGCGAGGGCCCTGCAGCAGAACACGTCTCTAGAAATACTGTGGTAATAGCTCAAGTCATTTCATTTGTTTGTTTGTTTTTCTGAGATAGGGTCTCGCTTTGTCGTCCAGGCTTGAGTGCCTTGGCGCAATCTCGGCTCACTGCAGCCTCGACCTCCCAGGCTCATTCGAACCTCCCACCTTGGCCTCCCGAGTAGCTGAGACTATAGGCATGCACCACCACGGCCTGTTAATTTTAAAATTTTTTGTAGAGATGGGATTTTCCTGTAACCCAGACTGGTCTTGAACTCCTGGGCTCAAGCAGTTCTCCCGCCCTGGCCTCTCAAAGCCCTGGAATTGCAGGTGTGAGCCACTGCACCTGGCACAGAGTCATTTTGGAGTGTTCGGGTCTCAGGAATTATCCCAGGGGCTGCAGATGGCCTGGAATCTTAACGGAAAAGATGTCCCCCTATTGGAAAGGCTCTAGGCCTTTCAGTTAAGTTGATAACTTAATTTCCTCCTAGAGAAGAAAATAGCCACTTCCACAAGCATAAACAGGTACAGGAGGGGAAAGTGGGCTCCAGGAGCCTGGGTCTGAGGCCTTGGCCTTCTAGGCCCCAGGAGAACCAGAAGGCTGGCCACGCAAGCTATCCAGGTATCCTCAGATACCTTCAGATGTGCTCGGCAGAGGCCAACTTCCATGCACTTGGCTCAAAATTTTCTCCCTTCTTCCTCTTCACCTGCCTCCCCCAGGCAGCCTCCTCCTTCCCCAGGTCTTCACATCGAGGTTTGGCCTTTGTGCTCCATCCAGCTCACCTGAAGCCCACAGTCCTCTGAAGGCTTTCACCTGTCACCTGAAGCCCACAGTCCTCGCTCCCTCTCTGCACTCCAGGGCACTTACTAAATGGATGTGGCCTCCTAAGGGTGTTTTTTGTTGGTGTTCCCTTTTTTATGGTCACTTAATGTTTTATTTTGCTTTATTTGAATTTTATTTACATCCCTGTATCATAAATTCCATGCAGGTGGCTGGGTGCAGTGACTTACGCCTGTAATCCCAGCACTTTGGGAGGCTGAGGTGGGAGGATTGCTTGAGGCCAAGAGTTCGAGACCAGCCTGAACAATATAGCAAGACCCTCTATCTACCAAAAAGAAAAAAAAAAAGGAAAGAAAAAAATTCCTTACAGGTTAGGTGAGGGAGCTGTATTACACCCCTCCCTATCATCTACTCAGGGCCCAGTGCTCATCTGATCTTGCTAAATTACTGAGAATAATGACAATGTCATCTTTAGGAGAGAGTTTTGACACTAGGCCTGCTGGCCAGTAAGTGCATTTTAAATTCTTTCCCCTCAAAAAATCATTTAACATTTTGAAAAGTAATATATGGTTTTTGGAAAAAATGTAGGACATTAAAGGAGGACGTGAAAGTACCTCCTAAAGTTCCTGCTAAAAGGAGGAAGTGAAAGTACCTCCCTTCGTGTTTTCCAAAATAACCTTTCCTTTCTAGCCTTTTGTTCTATATATGTTCAAAGATATGCAAAATAGAATAGCATTCAACCAGTGGCTCTAAAAATATCATAATCACAGATTACACATATTTTACATGTGTCCTTTAGGGTTTCTCAATCTTGATGCTGTTGACATTTTGGCCCAAGTGATTCTTTGTTACAGTAGGGCTGTCCTGTGTAGGAGGTTTAGCAGCATCTCTGCCCTGTACCTCCCAGTGGTGAGGATCAAAATGCCTCCAGACATGGCCAGGTGCCCCATGGAGAGCGAAATCACACGGATAGCAGTAATGTCAACACCTAGAAGCCCTCAAGTGCTGACTGCATGCCATGTGTTATTGTACACCTTTTCCCTGTGTTAACTCACTCAGCCTCACAGTCACTCTATACGATCTATACTATTAACATTCACCAGGGAGAAAACTCAGACCCAAAGAACTTAAGCCCCTTGCCCAAGGTCACCCTGCTCGTGGGTGATACAAACCTGCCCAGGCTGAGTCCGGAGCAGGTTTCAATGCTGTGTTCTTCTCCCTCCTCATTCTACCTCATTCTCCCTACTAGCTGCACATCATCCATTGAATAGATGTCACAATGTATTTCATCAGTTGTTTCTGATTTAAATTTGTTCAGATTTTACATTAGGGTAATACCACAATGCATGCTGCAATGTGTAATGCTTTGTGTATATATCCTTGCATACTGTAGGGTAAATTTCTGGAAGTCTAATTGTCTTAAAATGAAACACATTTAAAATTTGGACAGGCACATCCAAACTGCCCTTCAAGGAATGATTTTTTTTAAATGTTCTTTCTGTTCTATTCTTCTTCCTAATGATTCTTTCATCCACTGGCACAAGTGGGTCCTACCCTATTTACACTGAGGAGCTTTGGTGCTTTATCCAGACCACTTCTGGTTCTAAGGGTCATTGAGAGGCTTCCTGAACTGTTAAGTCACTTAACTTGGGTCCCTCACAAGTTAACTAAGAGCAAAGCACTGAACACATTTTAATGTGCAGTCAGTGGCTGTTTCAGGTCTTCAAACTGACTTGGAATAACACACTGTCAGTGGTGTTCAAGGGACCTTGGGACTAGAGGAGACCTGAGAAGCAGGCAGTGGGCCCCCATCTTTGTTTTCTGTGGGCCCCCATCTTCCATGAAATCTGAGGGCTCAGCAAAAGTGGGGAGGGAAGGTGGGCTCCTCTACAGGTAGCCGGGCTGAGAAACAGGAGCCTGGGTACAGGATTTGCATTAGAAATGAGTCCCATTGGCCGGGGGCGGTGGCTCACGCCTGTAATCCCAGCACTTTGGGAGGCCGAGGCGGGCGGATCACAAGGTCAGGAGATCGAGACCATGGCGAAACCCCGTCTCTACTAAAAAATAGAAAAAAATTAGCCGGGCGCAGTGGCGGGCGCCTGTAGTCCCAGCTACTCGGGAGGCTGAGGTAGGAGAATGGCGTGAACCCGGGAGGCGGAGCTTGCAGTGAGCCGAGATTGCGCCACTGCACTCCAGCCTGGGCGACAGAGCGATACTCCGTCTCAAAAAAAAAAAAAAAAAAAAAAAAAAAAGAAATGAGTCCCATTGACCTTCCGTGCGGCTGACAGGCTGGGCTTGGAGCCTGGCTGTTTTCTGGGTTCTCAGAGTGATCATCTGCGTAGCTGGAGAGCCTTGGGCTGGGTTCCTGCTCCTGTGAACTCTAGAGCAATGTCTGCCAAGTAGGCTCTCTTGAGTAAATACTTCCTTTTTTTTTCCCCTAGGTTGACCCAAAATGAACTCGACGATGAAGTGGCAGAGAGTTTGGCAGAAATGTTGAAAGTCAACCAGACGTTAAAGCATTTATGGTAACTCAGAGAGCCTTAGAATTTCAGACTGTGTTGCTTTTCAAAAGTATTTTTTGAGATAAAATTTACATACTGTAAAATTCACTCTCTTAAAGTATACAATTCAGAGGCTTTTAGTGCAACCATCACCACCTAATTCTAGAACATTTTTACTTCCCCTCCCCACTCCAAAAAGCCCCTGTATCCATTAAGCAGTCACTCCCTATCTTTCTCCTTCCAGACCCTGGCAACCACTAATCCGCTTTCTGTCTCTATGGATTTGCCTACTCTGGGCATTTCATATAAATGGAATCAAGCAATATGTGACCTTTTGTCTCTGTGTTCTAGCATGTTTCATTCCTTTTTATGGCTAAATGATAATTCACTCTAAGGAAATTTTACAGTTTATTAATCAGTTGATGGGACATTTGGGTTGTTACTACTTTTTGACTATTATGCATAATGCTACTGTGAACACTCCTGTTCATGCTTTTGGGTGAACATATGTTTTTATCTCTTTTGGGAATATATCTGGGAACAGAATTTCTGGGTCATAGGCAATCCTGTAACTTTTTGAGGAACCACCAAACTGTTTTCTAAAGTAGATATACTATTTTACATTCTCACCAGCAATGTATGTGGGTTCCAATTTCTCCACATCCTCACCAACACTTGTTATTGTCCATCTTTTAAAATCTAGTTATACTAGTAGGTGTGACGTAATATTGTGGTTTTGATTTGCATTTCCCTGATGACAACAATGTTGAATGTCTTTTTATGTGCCTACTGGGCATCTGTATTGCTTCTTTGGAGAAATGTCTGCATATCCTTTGCCTATTTTAAAATTGGGTTTGTCTTTTTATTGCTGAGTTATAGGGTTTCTCTATATATTCTGGGTGCTAGACCTTTACTAGATACAGGTTTTGCAAGTATTTTCTTTCTTTCTGTGGAGTTTTTCCTCTTTCTTGATAGTGACCTTTGAAGGACAAAAGTTTTTCACTTTTTTTTTTTTTTTTTTTTTTTTTTTTTGAGATGGAGTCTTGCTCTTGTCACCCAAGCTGGAATGCAGTGGCACAATCTCAGCTCTCTGCAACCTCCACCTCCTGGGTTCAAGCGATTCTTCTGCCTCAGCCTCCTGAGTAGTTGGGATTAGAGGCATGAGCCACCACGCCTGTCTCGTTTTGTATTTTTAGTAGAGATGGGGTTTCACCATTTAAGCCCAGGCTGGTCTCGAACTCCTGACCTCAGGTGATCCGCCTGCCTCAGCCTCCCAAAGTGCTGGGATTATAGGCAAGAAGCCACTGCACCCTGCCAATAGTTTTTAATTTTGATGAAGTCCAATTTATCTATTTTTTTTCTTTGGTTGCTTGTGCTTTCAGTGTCTTATCTAAGAAATGATCGCCTAATCCAAGATCACAAAGATCTCCACACAAGTTTTCTGTTCAGTGTTATAATTGTTTCCCCTCACATATAGGTCTGCAATCCATTTTGAGTCGATTTTTTGTCTATAGTGTAAAGTGAGGGTTAGCCTCATTCTCTTGCACGTGGATATCCAGCTGTCCCGGCAGCACCACGTGTTGAACAGATTATCTTTTCCTATTGAATGGCCCTGACACCCTTGTCAAAAATCAATTGACCATAGATGTATGAGTTTATTTCTGAATTCTCTGTTCTGGTCCATTGATTTATATGTCTCTCCTATGCCAGAACCATTGCTGTAGCTTTGTAGTACATTTTGAAATCAGGAGATGTGAGTTCTACTTTGTTCTTCTTTCTCAAGATTGTTTAGACCATTCCAGGTTCTTTGCATTTCTTATGAATTCAGACTTGCCTTGTCAATTTCTGCAAAAAGACTAGACTCTGCTACATATTGGTTTTTCTTTGCTTTTTAGCTTGCAAAATTATTTGATCCCATTCCCTAAGTGCAGGCCAGCCTCTCTAGGGAGAGCAGAGCTAGGACAGGGCCAGAAAGATGGTCTTGGCTGCTTTGTGCATTCCTAACCTGCACTGGCCCTAGTGAAGGCAGCCCGAGTGGGTGGATGTGCCTGGACACTGCAGGCTTTTTAGGGGCATTAGGTGCTCTCCTTCCTGGCCTCCTGCCAAGTCTTGGTTGGAGGCTGCTTTTCCTGCCTTCAACAAAGCCTAAGTGGTGACTGGAAAACAGCAGAGTGTTACTGAATACAGAACTCGGGGCCCACTTCCTGGTTCTATTTTTGTCCCTTTTGAAAGGGAAGGTCATCACCTCTGCCACTGAACGCAGGGGCCCTAGCCCTTGTGGGGTGTGGCTGGGAGCACCAGGTCCTGGCTACAGCCCAGCCACCAGTGGTCCTGTGTGCTTGGGCATAAAATTTAATAAATGGTGCTGGGAAAATTGGCTAGCCATAAGTAGAAAGCTGAAACTGGATCCTTTCCTTACTCCTTATACGAAAATTAATTCAAGATGGATTAGAGACTTAAATGTTAGACCTAATACCATAAAAATCCTAGAGGAAAACCTAGGTAGTACCATTCAGGACATAGGCATGGGCAAAGACTTCATGTCTAAAACACCAAAAGCAACGGCAGCAAAAGCCAAAATTGACAAATGGATCTCATTAAACTAAAGAGCTTCTGCACAGCAAAAGAAACTACCATCAGAGTGAACAGGCAACCTACAGAATGGGAGAAAATTTTTGCAATCTACTCATCTGACAAAGGGCTAATATCCAGAACCTACAAAGAACTCAAACAAATTTACAAGAAAAAAACAAACAACCCCATTAAAAAGTGGGCAAAGGATATGAACAGACATTTCTCAAAAGAAGACATTCATACAGCCAACAGACACATGAAAAAATGCTCATCATCACTGGCCATCAGAGAAATGCAAATCAAAACCACAATGAGATACCATCTCACACCAGTTAGAATGGCGATCATTAAAAAGTCAGGAAACAACAGGTGCTGGAGAGGATGTGGAGAAATAGGAACACTTTTACACTGTTGGTGGGATTGTAAACTAGTTCAACCATTATGGAAAACAGTATGGCGATTCCTCAAGGATCTAGAACTAGATGTACCATATGACCCAGCCATCCCATTACTAGGTATATACCCAAAGGATTATAAATTATGCTGCTATAAAGACACATGCACACGTATGTTTATTGCAGCACTATTCACAATAGCAAAGACTTGGAATCAACCCAAATGTCCATCAGTGACAGATTGGATTAAGAAAATGTGGCACATATACACCATGGAATACTATGCAGCCATAAAAAAGGATGAGTTTGTGTCCTTTGTAGGGACATGGATGCAGCTGGAAACCATCATTCTTAGCAAACTATCACAAGAACAGAAAACCAAACACCGCATGTTCTCACTCGTAGGTGGGAACTGAACAATGAGATCACTTGGACTCGGGAAGGGGAACATCACACACCGGGGCCTATCATGGGGAGGGGGGAGGGGGGAGGGATTGCATTGGGAGTTATACCTGATGTAAATGACGAGTTGATGGGTGCAGCACACCAACATGGCACAAGTATACATATGTAGCAAACCTGCACGTTGTGCACATGTACCCTACAACTCGAAGTCTAATAATAATAAATTAATTAAAAAAAAAAAAAAAGACCTTTAAATAAAAAATAAAAAAAAAAAAGAGTGACAAGAGCTCCCTTCCCCTGGACACTGTGCCTAATACACACCCTCCTCTTGAAATCTCACACATCCAGTAGATGGGGGGCACTCTGATAGTTATTCTCATTTTACAGATGACACAACTGAGGCACAGACAGATACGTTTATTTCTTCAAGGTTCTGTAGCTGAAAGGTGAGGAGGGAGGGTTTAAGAGTAGCTGCAACTGCTCTGCAATACTGCCTCTCTCGAGGGAGTCCTCTTCACTCACGACAGCATAGGGCCCTCGTCTTCCTGGTAAGGGCTTCCTTCTTGGGTTAGTGCCAGGATTTCTAGGGGTCAGGTTTAGCAGGAGCCTATTCTACAAACAGCCAGGAGCGGGGAATGACTCTGTGATGAAGTGGAGACACCACAGCCTCTTGATGCATTTATTTCCTGGTTGAGTTGGAAGCATAGCCGCCCAGGGGAGCATTTCAGGAGAGGCCCGGCTTCCTAGAGATTGCTGAAACCTTTGTTTCATTTGAATCACTGCTACCCAGAACAATGGGGTGCATTCTCAGAGGCCCCATTATTAAAGCTTTTCCATTGAGCCCCATGAGAACTGTTCATGAGAACTATTTCATGGCAGCATAACTGTTTCTCCCCGCTCCCTCTTGCATGTTGGTAACCTGTTAACTTTAAAACCTGCCTTGCCTTTCCCTTGCTACCTGGAAGGAGACGTCAGACTTCCTGTTCCCATGATGTGTTTCTTAGAATTTGTCGTTCAGATTGGTGGTCTCCAAAATATATCTACATATTGAAACGGAGTCTCACTCTGTCACCTGGAGTGCATTGGCGCGATCTTGGCTCACTGCAACCTCCACCTCCTGGTTCAAGCAATTCTCCTGCCTCAGCCTCCCGAGTAGCTGGGACTACAGGCATGTGCCACCATGCCCAGCTAATTTTTTTGTATTTTTAATAGAGACAGGTTGGCCAGGATGGTATCGATCTCCTGACCTCGTCATCCACCCACGTTGGCCACCCAAAGTGCTGGGATTACAGGCGTGAGCCACCACACCCGGCCCCGTATATTTTGATTACGCACCTCTGCAATGAAAAATGCAAACACACGCATCTGTTCATGTATTACATTATGTTCACTATAAAAACAAACAGAAAATTTAAAAAATGTCAAGCTATCCTTTACTCTAGTGGATCTGATCTAGACACTTTTAGCCAGTACAAAGTCACATAGACTCGGTTCTTCCCCTGACCAACTTGTCTCTTATCCCAACACACCCTTACAACTCTCTCACGAAGGGGTCAAATTTGATCCAGTATTATGGATTTTATACAAGGTATGTTCTTCTTTCAGGCTTATCCAGAATCAGATCACAGCTAAGGGGACTGCCCAGCTGGCAGATGCGTTACAGAGCAACACTGGCATAACAGAGATTTGGTAAGATCCCAGCGTTTGTCACCGTAATAACACCAGTGACTGTTTACTCACCACCACTGACTGTGTGCAAGGCACGATGCGGGGTGGTTTCTGTTTATTCCTCCAGCAACCCTGCATAGTAGTGGTATTACCTCTGTTTTACAGATGTAGACAGAGGCCCAGGGCAGTGAAATAAAGTTGCCCAAGGTCACCACAAGAGCTGGAATTCAGCCCAGAATGCCTGATTCCATAGTCTGTGCTCTCCTGCCCTGGGCCCCTGCCCCCATCTACCTTCATTGGGTGGGAGCGGGGAAGTGGCCAATGAAATGATTTCCTAGTGGAAGTAAATCACCCTGGGACTCAGTGATTGAGAGATGGATGTGTTGGCCAGGAGTTTGGAGCTCGTTCTTCCCCTTTTCTGGGCTCCGTGAGACATTTCCAGGCTGACTTGAACCGACTTATGCTCTTTATCTACTTCTTTTTTCTGCTTTGAGAACTTCCTTATGCGAAAAGAAGAAAAAAAGTTTGCTTTACTGTGACATTGAGTGCCATGCCACTTCTTTCTTGCCTTCCATAAGGCACAGACACTTCCCACTCAGCAGCTCCCTTAGCAACTTAATTGCCTGGGTGAGGTGGGACTGGGTGGATGCTGGGAGAGGGGCCTTGTATTAGTCTGTTCTCATGCTGCTAATAAAGACATACCCGAGACTGGGTCATTTATAAAAGTGAGAGGATTAATTGACTCACAGTTCTACATAGCTGGAGAGGCCTTACCATCCCATGGCAAAAAGCGAATGAAGAGCAAAGTCACATCTTACATGGCAGTGGGCAAAAGAGCTTGTGCAGGGGAACTCTACATTATAAAACCATCAGATCTCATGAAACTTCACTACCATGAGAACAGTATGTGGGAAACTGCCCCCATGATTCAATTATCTCCACCTGGCCTGTCCTTGACACGTGGGGATTATTATAATTCAAGGTGAGATTTGACTGGGGACACAGCCAAACCAAGTCAATCCTGTAGCACATGCATGGTGTCCAATAGAAACAACGGTCTCCATGCTTGTGCACCTGCTTCATGCCAGGCCCTATGTTAGGGGCTGGAGATGCGGCAATTAATGTGACCAAAGTGCTGGCTGACCCAACCTGAGCATGGAGGGCCCAGGATACTTCAACCCAGACTCGTAAATGCTCTGGAAACTTGTTTTGAACCTCAGAGCCTGAGACAGCCCTTCCCAATGTGAAGCTTCAACCCACGTGGAGACTGGCAGAAGGCAGAGCCAGTTTCTGGTAAGAACACAGAAGCTCCTGAGCCCACTGTGGCTTCTCTAAGCTCCAAGGGGCAGTCTCACCATGGACCCAAACCCTCAGCTCAGGTGCCCATTCCTCATTAACTATGTCCTCCTTTCATGACTGGGGAGAATTTCATAGCCAATTAAAAACAAAAAACAAAAAACGGCTCCTTGGCCAACATAGGCTCCTCATACAATGTTTTTTAAACTTTGCTTTAGAACTTGTTTGGAGCTTGTCATAAAATCAGATCAGTTTGGTGAGTTGCAACCAACAATATTTAAAAAGAAAGCAGAACAGAACAGAATATCAGGATGCAATGTGCATGGTGCAGAAGTATTTCATTCATCTTAGTTCATGCTTGCATGTGAGTGGGTGTGTGTTTGCATAAGCGTTGGTTCACAATGTAAAATGTAATTCTTATTTGGGGTTGTAGACAAAAGGTTTTTTTTTTTTTTTGACTAACACTGTTGGCTAGGCGTGGTAGCTCATGCCTGTGATACCAGTGCTTTGAGAGGCCAAAATGGGCAGATCTCTTGAGCACAGGAGTTTGAGACCAGCCTGGGCAACATGCAAAACCCTGTCACTACAAAAATTAGCCCGACATGGTGCTATGCGCCTGTAGTCCCAGCTACTGAGGAAGCTGGTGTGGGAGGATGGATGCTTGGGAGGTCAAGGCTGCAGTGAGCCAGGATCATGCCACTGCAGTCCAGCCTGGGTGCTTTTTGTCTCAAAAAACAAACAAGAAAGAAAAAAAAACACCATCATAGAGAACAGAGCCCAGATCCAACCAGACACCGTGGCCTGTGTGCCTGCGAGGCCCAGCCTGCCCAGCAGCCTGGGAAGCACCGGAGGGTGCTGGAACTGTTTGCATGGGGCTTTGCCCTCAGGTCACTCCATTTCTGCTGAGTCTTATGTTTTGAGGACAGCAGGCAGAGCGGGAGAGGAAGGAGACTGCCAGACTACAGACCAGTTTGCAGAGCAGTCGGCTTCCACTTTTCTCTGCAGCTGGTCAGGCGGGTAGTAAAGACCTACAGTTGCTTTAAATTCTGTCAAGTTTCAAAATCTGCATTGCGTCCCTCTTGAGGGCCACCATTCCCACACAAGGAACCATTTGAGTAGGGCCGGGAGCCTTCAGCTTCAAGGCCTACACTTGTGTCAGGGTGGAGAGGGGAACTGGCCATCAATTCAGAGAGGGCAGGACAGGCGGCCTGGATCCTGGTCTTGGGAATGTCTTCACTTAGGTCCCTGGCTTGTTCTGGGAGCCTCCAGAGCATGCTCCTGTGTGTGTGACTCCATGGAACTGGGCTCTGAGAAGGCCGTGGCTTTGTTGGCCCTGCCAGGGACTGCCACACCAGGCCACAGGGCTGTGGTCGAGCTGGCCGGGGAGCCAGATTCAGGGAGCAGCTCTGCTTGGAGCCAGCACTTACAGAGTGAGTCTTCTCCTTGGACTTGTTATCTGTTCTGACACTTATTTCCACCTCATTCCTTTCTGGAAATAACTTGGAAGTCTGAAGTCCCTTGGTGAGTTCTGCCTTTAAGAACAGAAATTAGAGGTGTAGAATGAACACTATAAATTATAGAAATGTATCCCACTCCAGTATAACAGCTTTCTGTGAGGCTACCTCCAGACTGTGGCTCTGGGAGGGTGGGGCCTGAGTCAAGGTCATTGCTCCAGTCCTAGGGACTAGCACCGTGTCTTCATTTATTCCTTGAATAATGAAATGCTTGAGCATCAGGGACTGTGCTAGCACCAAAAATCCAGTGGTGAACAACATGGCTTCATGGGTTCACTGTCTAGAAAGCGAGATGCACATTAAAGAAAAAGAAAATCATTTGCGTAATTATTTAATTACAACTGTGATGAGTACTATCACAAAGGGGAAGGCCAAGAGGGAACCTGATTTAGATGAGGTTACAGGGAAGGCCTCTCTGAGGAAGCAGCACTTACACTAAGCCATGAAGGATGAATGGGAGCTAGACAGCTGAGGTGAGTAGGGAACAGCATGTGCAAAGGGTCTGGGGCAGGAGGGCGTGTGAAGAACTGCCAGAAGCTGCTGTGCCCTGGGGTTCAGACGGTGTGGAAGAGGAGACTACAGGAGGCTAAGGAGATAGACAGGGACTGGACCATAAAAGATCTGTGGGTCATGATACGCGTTTTGGTCTTTATCCTAAAAGTGATGGAAAGTCGGTGAACAGTTTGAAGCAGGAGAGGAATGTGATCAGATCTGCATTGCAAAAAGACCAATTCTTGGCTCTTCCAGGAAACTGGACTGGAGAAGGCCAGAGTACGTGGAAATGACCTGTCAGTAGAACATTGTACTGATCCAGGGAAGAGATGATGGGTGCTCAGACCAAGACGGTCGGCTGAAGATAGAGAGAGGTTCCAGGGAGGCATTCTAGATGCTTAGGAATTAGGACAGAACTTTGTGATACAAGGAACATGGGGATGAGAAGGAAGGTGTCCAGGTTGACCCCCAGGTTATTAACCTGCACAGTAACCTGTGAGAGTGGTCCATTCACTAAGCCAGGCGACCCTAGGACGTGTGGCTACTTTGAGGTGCGGGGGAGAGGTCCAAGTGAGGATGCCAAGCAGGTAACTGCCTCCACTGACAGATGAACAAGGCTGTGGCATTGATGAGATCAGCTGGGGAAAAGGGCTTAGCCCCAAGCCTGGAGGAATTCTCAGATGTCGAGGTCACATGGAGGAGAGTATAGGAAAGGAAACGGAAGTAGAGTGCTCGGATGCGGGAGAAAAATCAGGGCATATAACCAAGCCAAGGGGAGGGAGTGCTTTAAGAAGGAGGGAGAGGAGAGGTTAGGACAGCCAAAATCCTGTGAGGGCCAAGAAAGCCAAGACCTGGAAAATGTCATTAAATTCAGGCTTATGGAGGCTACAGGTGACCTTAGTGAGACTCAGTGAACAAAGCGATGGCAGCTGGAGAGGATCCATGCTAATATGAAGGAACTATCTGAAAAGGGTATATTCCTTAATTTCAGGGTTGTGTGATGCACGAGTGTGTGCTATGAACACACCTTGGGAATGAGTGTGCCAGAGTCCTTAACATTTTATCTGTGTACTTTTGTCTTCCTCCTTTTCAACAGCCTAAATGGGAACCTGATAAAACCAGAGGAGGCCAAAGTCTATGAAGATGAGAAGCGGATTATCTGTTTCTGAGAGGATGCTTTCCTGTGCGTAGGGTTTTTGCCCAGAACCTCACCAGCCAATGCCACTCCGGGCAGTCTTTTGTGTCAGTGTCTTAAAGGGGCCTGCGGAGGCGGGACTATCAGGAGTCCACTGCCTCCATGATGCAAGCCAGCTTCCTGTGCAGAAGGTCTGGTTGGCAAACTCCCTGAGTACCCGTTACAATTCTGCAGAAAAAGAATGTGTCTTGTGAGCTGTTGTAGTTACAGTAAATACACTGTGAAGAGACTTTATTGACTATTATAATTATTTTTATCTGAAGCTAGAGGAATAAAGCCGTGAGCCGAACAGGAGGCCAGCCTCAGCTCATTCCAACGCCTGCCATAGGGACCAGCGGGATCAAGTTGGTCACTGCTGTTTTCATTGAAGAGTTGAGGATGTGGCACAAAGTTGGTGCCAGGCTTCTTGAATAAAAGGTGTTTGATGGATAAGTATTATACCTAAAATATTTTCTTCCTTCTCAGCACTTTCCCATGTATTGATACTGGTCCCATTTCACAGCTGGAGACACTGGGGTATATGCAGTGTGGGATTTGACTCCTCCAGGATTTTGTGGAAAGTTAGTGTCAAGGAAAGGACGCACCACAGGCTTTTAATTTTAATCCTGGAGTTTCACTGTCTGCTGGCGAAGATCAGAGAATGCCCTCTTAGCTCTTAGCTGGTCTAAGAAGAATGACGATGCCTTCAAAATGCTGCTTCCACTCAGGGCTTCTCTGCTAGGCTACCCTCCTCTGGAAGGCTGAGTACCATGGGCTATAGTGTCTGGCCTCGGGAAGAATTGATTCTGTCCCCACAAAGAAACAGGGCATGGCTTGCCTTTGTGGCCCTGGCATCCAAATGGCTGCTTTTGTCTCCCTTACCTCGTGAAGAGAGGAAGTCTCATCCTGCCTCCCGAGCAGTTGAAGGGTGACTAAACTGGCGCCAAGACTTGGGGGATCAGCTGGGAACTGGGCCAGCAGAGCATGTTGGACACGCCCCACCATGGTGGGCTTGTGGTGGCTGCTCATGAGGGTGGGGGTAATATTACTAGATCACTTGTCCTCTTGCCAGCTCATTTGTTAATAAAATACTGAAAACACTCTTACGGTTGAGTCTGGAGTTTTTGAAGGGACTCAGCCTGGTAAGCACTCTTTGACTCCTGAACCCCATGCTGACTCACTCCGCAGAGGGGAAGGGGCTCTGGGGCAATGTGCTGTGAGGAGAGCCTGACAAAGGCCAGAGGCGTTACCAGTTTGATCCTTCACAGGCCTCTCTGCCTACCAAGAGACAGGAAGAGGCTGCGGCAGCCTCTGAAGTCTCTCCATCTGGCCTCTGAATCTCTTCAGGTGGCTTCTCAGAGGAAATAACTTGTGAGTAGGGGGTGGCTGGTGCCAGGACAGGCCAAGTGAGCCAAAGTTCATGCCTTCATCACCATGCCATGGTAGGGCCAGCAGGCCAGGTTCGACGTCCACTACCTTCCTCAGCTGTTCACTGCTGAGTGGAGGACCCAGGTAGGCCTGTGGCAAGAAGCACCGAGCTGCCAGGGGCAGCACATGACAGGGGAAGGCGTGCAGGGCCTCCAGTGGTCCACCTCTGAGTTCTTAGAGTCCAAGCCTGGCTTTGTAGAGCAGCCTCTTAGGAAGGGGACCGTTGCAGGGGGAAATCCTGTACAGTTAAGCAACTACATGGTGGCAGTTCCCTTAAAGGCTCAATTTTGGTGGTTCCTACCATGTCCCTCCCAACCCCAGACCTGAGCATTCACCTAATAATCACCCCAAGGCAGCAACTCTCTTCTTTCTGCAGAATCTGGGCGGCAAATATGCCCAGAAAGAACAAGGGAATGAGTATGGCCCACTGAAGGTCAAAGGGGGAATGCCACAGACCTCAGACTCGCCAAGTCTTACCACGAAGTTCACTTCTTAGCAGACGAAATTCACATTTGATTAAACTGTTCAAACTAAACCCTTGAGAGTCTAAAATTTACTCAGAAACTACCAAATGTTATTGCTTCTAGAGACTATCAAAATTAAAACTGCTGCCTCTAGGGAATTAGAGTTTGTGTGGTATTGACTTAAATTCTATTTGGAAATACTTTGATCGTCCGGATGGCAAATGGTAGATTTTCTTTTTTTTTTTTTTGAGACGGAGTCTCGCTCTGTCGCCCAGGCTGGAGTGCAGTGACGTGATCTTGGTTCACTGCAAGCTCTGCCTCCTGGGTTCACGCCATTCTCCTGCCTCAGCCTCCGAGTAGCTGGGACTACACTACAGGCACCCGCCACCACGCCAGGCTAATTTTTGTATTTTTTAGTAGAGACGGGGTTTCACCATGTTAGCCAGGATGGTCTTGATCTCCTGACCTCGTGATCCACCCGCCTTGGCCTCCCAAAGTGCTGGGATTACAGGCGTGAGCCACCGCGCCCAACTGGCAAGTGGTAGATTTTCTATTCCTCCTGTAAAACTGGGATCAGGCTCCTAATTTGATGGAAGGGTTCTCTTGTTAGAAACAGCTGAGCTTCTGAGCAGACACATGGAGACTCTTCCTACTCAAGAAAAAGACAACTGAAAAAAAAATTCTGTAAACGAGGGCTATGACTCTTTCTTTCTACAGGACATCTTGGTTGATTTTGGGAAAGAAGCTTCAGCTCCCATATTTCATACCTGCACTTGTGTCAGGTCCATGCTGATATGGAACTTCTTTAAAAAGCCATGTGGAGTCACTGTGTGGCCATGTGGTATTAGCTCTCTGGAGTGCCCAGCTGTGTGGCTTTGGGGCAGTCTAAGATGGCCAGAATCTTGATTTCCTCCTTGAAAAAACTGACAGAATCTGACTCAAAAGGTTGTTGAGAGGATTAAACGAGTCATGGAAAGTAGCTGGCACAGAGCCTGGCACAGGGTCCTGTTCAACGTTTGGCAGTTACTCTCAAGCAAGTGGGTCTCATTTCTGCTCACCGTGGGACTCCCAAGTTATCCCCTTCTCACTCGTAGGCTCAGGGAACTTTCCAGCTAGGTCAAATACAGGACTAGGAGTTCTCAAAGTAAAACACCAAAATATTCAACATCAAGCTTCCTGCAATATCCTACCTTTGTCAGTGAAAAGCGTTAACTGTTAGTTTTCATTATTATTACCAAAGAGCATACTGCCATTTAAGTGTCAACTCACTGAACACAGGGGGCACCTGTGTCTTCACTGCACAACAGAGCAGAGCAGGAGCTGGCACCCCCCCATGGAGCCAGGCCCATGAGCTTTTGCCAAGTGGGAAGGAGCTTTCTGCTCATCCATATTTTGATTCACTTCCAGGCGGACCACAGGTCTGTTTCCAGTAACCAATTGCTTCCTTACAAGAAAAAAACCTTGCGCTAGAGCTGAAAGGCAAAGCCATGACCATTAACCCAAGTCCATGAAGAAGAATTTTATGAAAGTAGAATGGCATTGTGAGGAGGCTGAGACTCATGTTACCAAGGGACATCCCAGCACTACCCACTCAACCTTAAAATGGAATGAACTGCACCCAAGACCAGCTTGAGACTCTTAGAGACATTAAGTACTGAAAAGGTTATAGGCCCTTCTGACCTATAATAAAAATATTTAGTGTATTCTAAAGTAAGTGCAAAGCTGTTAAACAAGTTTCTAATTTTTCCCATGACTACTCGGGTGCTTTTTCAGGCCAATAACAAATATTAAAGTGTCTCAATTTTTTCCTGAACTTTTTTCTGTTATAAAGTGCATTTATTTTTGTTGTCAAAGTAGTGTCATTACCCAGTGTAGTGCCTGTGTGACCTAAGTAAATTTCTTCCCCACTTTAACTTTGGTTATCTTTACGAAACAGGATGTCTGCGGTTAAAAGCTCCTCATCATGACCAAACCAGTTAAGAATGGTGGGATCCAAGATGGCAGCTCACTTGACGTCTGAAGAACCTCTAACTTCATTATAATCTAATTTCCATGCTAAATGACACTCCCCCCAGTGCCAAGACAGCAGACAATCACCATGACAATGGCCAGAAGAAACCATAAAAGGACAAAAAAGGGGGACAAAAATTCTGGTTCTAAGAAGTTATCTACCTAATTCCCAGAAAAGACATGAATATTTTCCCCCTTGCTTTTAATTCCCCAACCCCTTCATTAAAGATGCTCCATATCTGTGACTTCCTGGCTCACATCAGGGATATCCTATATTTGTGATTTCTTGGCTGTCATAGGGGGATGCCCTATCGCTCACGGGCTGAGAAGTTGATTTATGAGCCAGGTTCCCACATCTCAATTCTATGGGCATCAAATAAAGCCTGCACTGCTAGATGCACGCTTTCGATTTTGTGTATTGGCTTTGTGGCACCAAATAGGAAAATACTCCATTTTAGGGGGGATTGGCCTTGTCAATAATGTCATAAAGGGAAAAATTTAATGTTTATAATAACACAACACTAACACAGCTATTTTAATTTTTGTATGTAATCTTCCATGCTTTGCCTACTTTGAGACATCTTTTTACATAGCTATAATCACAGAGTACATTAGCAGTGATTTTTGTCATTTTCCCACATTGTTAGTCTTTATAATTATTAATATATTCTACCAGTTTCAGAATTTGCTTAATAATATTCCAGATATTCAGGTTAGACCTTCAAGTTTCCAGGCTGACTGTGGTGGTGGTCCCTATAGACAATATTTCTGTGGAATTAAAACATTCTTTATAGTGATTTCTTTGGAATAAGATTATCAAGGCAAAGATTCCTGCTATTAGTTAGCCAGGTATGGTGATGTATAACTGTGGTCCCAGCTACTCCAGAGGCTGAGATGGGAGGACCGCTTGAACCCAGGAGGTCAAGTCTGTAAGTGAGCCTGGGTGACAGAGACCCTATCTCAAAATAAAAACAAAACCAAAAACAAAAAACCCCAGATCCTTGCTATGAAGTGTTATTTTTTAACCTACGTCAAGGGTGTAATAAGTTTGGAAGCAAGTGAAAATTAGAGACCAATGTAATGTGAAGCCAGCAGTGTCTCCTTTGAATAGAATAAAACTCCCTGCCCTAACCCTCACAATCACACCAGACCAGTGTTCAGGCACTGCCCACACACATACATGTGCTATGCCAATGACTGACTACAGGGAAGAATAAATGAACATATCAGCATCTGTTTTAAAGTGGCACTGTTGAAGATAACCACTTACTAGTGAGCAAGTGTCAGAATCTTAAAAATCAGTTTTCCTTGATTTAAAACCTTTTTATTTATAAATATGTGTATGTGTCCTTGCTTTGCCTAAACAAACCCAGCTTGTCTAAACCCATGAACATCAGGCCAAATAAAAACTTCTTCCTCCCAATGACCCTGTGAAGTAGAATTATTTCCTGAATGAAGAAACTGAGGACTAATAATATGAATATGTATCTTATTAATCAGGATTTGTATAAAAATAAAAAAAGCAACACAAAACTCTTCAGGGAAGGGATCTAGGCAAATGCAGAATGTTTTGCCGGCAATATCTACGTTTTCAATCTCCTCATTCTCCCAATGAGGAAACTGGTGTCAGAGAGAAAAAGATACTCACTCAAGGTCACTTTAACTACTGGTAGAACCAGAACTAGAACACAGGTCTTCTGTCTGGTTTTATTTTCCCTCTGTTCTGATAGGGTTTGTGACCTTCAGTTCACTCTGCAACTGACCACCTTTCTGCCAAATCTATTACCTAGTGACACAGGATTTTTTTCTTGGCCACTTTGCAACCTGGGGACCTCTAGCTGGAGATGCCCCACCTGGGCCTTGTTCAGTCATGCTACCTGCTGCAGGAGATGGCCTGCCTGGGACAAGTCTGGCTTGTGCACTGGTTCCCGAGGGCTTGTCCCATTCCCAAGAAGAATGAGGATATGCTGACCATCGGAGAGTTAGCAAGGCAAGGAGTTTGAGTGATGAAACAGTTTTCAGTGGAGAGGGGATACAGGGGTGATCCCCCTACCTGAAGGTGGGAAAGCCCCCCCCACTGTGACTGAGTCTGGGGCTTTTATGGACTCAGAATGGGAAAGGGGCAGGTCATAGGTAATATTGGAAAAGGCAACATTCGATTGGTTAAAAGGCATTATTCAGAAAGAATCAATTAGGAGGCCGGG